TATGGATACTATCCTATCACTGACAGTTTTGTACTTTAGGATAGATTTTTAAATGTTCTTTTTGACAGTGAATGTTACACCTTTCCTCTTCAATTTGTCATTCCTGGCATAGAAGACCATATGATTATCTGATTCAAAATGGCTAATACCAGTCCATTTAGTTCACTAATGCCTAGGGTATCGACGTTTATGCATTCCATTTCATTTTTGATTATTTCCAGTGTTCTTAGATTCATACTTGATACATTCCACTTTCCTATTATTAATGGATGTTTGCAGCTGTTTCTTCTCATTTTGGGTCTTGCCACATCAGCAAATGAAGATCCTGAAAGTTTGACTCCATCGAAGTCATTAAGGTCGACTCTACTTTGAGAAGGCAGCTCTTCCCCAGTTGTATTTTAGTACCTTCCAAGCCGAGGGGCTCATTTTCCAGCACTATATCAGACAGTGTTCTGCTGTTCGTAAGGTTCTCACTGGCTAATTTTTTTTCAGAAGTAGACTGCCAGGTCCTTGGTCATTCTTCCTAGTCTGTCTTAGTCTGGAAGCTCAGCTGAAACCTATCCACCACGGGTGATCCTGCTGGTATTTGAAATACCAGTAGCATAGCTTCCAGCATCACGGCCACATGCAAGCCACCACAGTACAACAAATTGACAGACGTGTAGGGAATATATATATACTCTAAGGAATATATAAAAATATAGAATTGGGTCAAAAAATACATTAAGACACAACCATCTACAAAATTATGTAACACAGAATTTCTACATAAATCTACATCAGTTTCATAATGAAGGACGCATACTTTCTGCAGTAGCGTACCTTCATATCGTAGTGATCAGTGCTTTCTATTGGAGATGGTAAAATTATTTATTGGCATTGAATGTAGATATTAAGATAAAATTTATATTCTAATAGTAGCTAGCAATGACCAGTGTTACTTATTCTCTACACCATATTTAAGATTACTCTGTTCACCCTGGAAGTCTTTTTAAGTTAATTTATTTAAGAAATATTTGAGTATTGAACCTATGCAAGGTACTGCTCTTTTTTTATTGTATTTTAGATGAGTGTTTACAGAGTAAATTTGTTTCTCATTAAACAATTAATACACATATTGTTTTGTGACATTGGTTGCCAGCCCCATGACTTGTCAACACTCTCCTCTTCTCGACCTTGGGTTCCTCCTTACCAGCTTTCCTGTCCCCTCCTGCTTTCTCGTCCTTGCCCCTGGGCTGGTGTGCCCATTTAGTCTCGTTTTGTTTTACGGGCTTGTCTAATCTTTGGCTGAAGGGTGAACCTCAGGAGTGACTTCAGTACTGGGTTAAAAGGAAGTCCGGGTGCCATACTCTTGGGTTTTCCCAGTCTCTTTCAGGT